GGGGGTGGGGGAGAGAGAGCTGTGTTCACTTAACGACCGCATGGCTCACTTAACGACCGCAGTGATTCGCTGAACCGCGGTAGGGGAAAAAGTTGTCAAACTTGAGTGAATCTCTCTTAAGAACCGCCTGGCTTGGTGATGGATATTCTCGTTCCGACTGCGGTCGTAAGTCGAGGATTGTCTGTCCTGGGGTGGCCTGGGGAGGGGGGATGCTGCGGTTTGTCATGGAGCATATTCTGCATCCCAGCCCCCCCCCCCCCCGAAAAAGGGCCTTCCCTGTATTTTCCAAAAGACTTCTGCAGATCAGAATAGCCAGGAATATTGGGGAGAAGGAAAGGGCACCACCAGGTGACCCAGCACTGAGCCATGGATGGCTTTGAAAGAAAAGCAAGGCCCGATCAGCCCTTGGCGACCAACGGAGATCTTTCAGCCCGCCAGAATCACCTGATTCCAGGTTCTCGTATCGTATTTCGCACCCGTTGCTCTTTCCAGAACTTTCCCCCTATATAAAGCCAGTATCCACTATTCGAAGGAGACCAAGAGGTGATCCATTTGTCTAACTGTAGCATCCCAGAGTGTTATGTCTCATCTGGCCGGGTAGCCAACCTCCCTTTGCCTCCTCCTAGATCCCGGTGGCCGTGAAGACGTTGCGTTCAGATGTCTCCTCCGACCCGGGGGCCCTGATTGACTTCCTCAATGAGGTCAACGCCATGTGCTACCTGGATCACCCCCATCTCCTCCGCCTCCATGGCGTGGTGCTCACCCAGCCCCTCAAGATGGTAAGGGGTGGGGTAAGGGGCTCCAACTCTGGAGGATGGAATGGCGGTAGGGTCTCCGGCTTGAGCAAGCGGGTTGGGCTAGATGACCTGCAGGGTCCCTTCCGATTTGGTTATTCTGTAAGGGTCTTTTCCCAGAGCAGCGGGTTGAACTAGATGACCTCCAAGGTCCCTTCCAATTCCTGTTATTCTGTTATTCTGTTATTCTGAGCAGGGGGTTGGACTAGAATGACCTCCAAGGTCCCTTCCAATTCCTGTTATTCTGTTATTCTGAG